CTGGATGTAGGGAGGCGTAGTCATGAGACATGTTGAGCACGTGAGAAACGGAGTAACGCAGCATGGTTTGGTATTGATTTTAGAGTCACGTGAGGTTCTCTATTTGACTTGATGTCAACACGAGGCCTGAATAACAGGGGAATTGTACAAAGATAGAATTAAGCAGGGATATGGACGAAGTTTACGTTAATCAGGAAAAAATGAATATGTACGTCAACAGCGTCTGCCTATCCTAAAAACAATTAGCACTCGCGATGGCCTGGTCTACAGATTGGAAAGAACGTGATGTCAATTTTTAACTGATTACCCAATCAGAATTTCAATAATCTGTTGAGGAAAAGGATAGGCCTGGTGGTATATTTTTCGTTGGAAGTTGCGAAGATTCCTATCAGAGAATTCAGAAGGATAGATGGCAAGCATACGTTAGCTTTCGATGAATTGAGAAGAAGACGACTCGATCGCTGGGACAGTACTTTTATTTGTCTGACGTTTCGAGATCCGTCGCACATTCGTCATCAGAGACAAAGTCAGAGAGCAATAGCAGCAATGGCTATACCCTTTCTGCTATTGCTCTCTGACTATGTCTCTGGTGACGAATCCGCGACGGATACCGAAACGTCAGGCGAATAAAAGTACTGTCCCAGCGATCGGGTCCTCTTCTTCTCTATTACTTCCTGGGACTCGCACGTTCGCTTGCATTGGCAACTTATTTGGGCGAGGTGCGCTTCGATCGGCCCGACGATGGGAAACGTTTACCCTTCGTGAAGCCTCAACCTATTCACATATCCAGTTTCTGCACAGGTGCCTGGACAATAACGCTTTGCCGATAAGTGGTCGTTACAAAACCCTTTCGATGAATGCTTATCGGGCAAAGACATTGGTATGGGAATGGAATAAATTTGTACATGCAGCCTACAATGATCATCTTATCATGCAAGTGGCTTCCTGGGTCAGCACCTGCTAACGACAGTAGAAGCGACCGCTATCAGGTCGAGGAAGCTGATCTTGTGTGCGCAAAGTAACTTCTGGTAACTTCTATCATGGCCAGTGGTCACTCTGTCGCGCTCTCTGTTTCATCTCCTCTTCGTACTAATTCGACCATGAAGACGAAGAATGCACACCATATGCTTTGCAGCGTGGTAGCTGCCTGACGATCAGTTTCGAATGATAACAGATTTGACTGCCATCTGTCGTACGCTCTCCTCCCTCACCCATCTGAGATCGGTGACAAGATAGAACGCGCCGCACAGCCAGTCTTCGCTTATCGACCCCAACCACCTCTTCCCACGATTCATTTTTATGAAAAGACCAATATTTTTTAACTTGTGTCCCGTTCCTACCCGTGATCGTCAATTGCCACTCGAGAATTAAAACGGTTTACCAGTGGTCTCTCCCTACGACGGCTAAAGCGAAACAACATTTTTATTGACCCAGTTGTGAAAAAG